TCACTTTCTTATAGTTATTCATTTTCCTGGTCCCTTATTTAAGTTTTCTAGATTCCTGCTATGAGTGAGACCATCCGGTATTTTTCTTTTTCTTTTTGGCTTATTTCGCTGAGCATAATCCCTTCCAGCGCCATCCATGTTGCTGCAAATTGCATGTGTTTATCTTTTTTGAATGCTGAGTAATATTCCATGGTATATATGTACCACATCTTCTTGATCCAGTCATCTATTTTGGGGCATTTGGGTTGTTTCCAAAGCTTAGCTATTGTAAACAGTGCTGCTATAAACATAGGGGTGCAGGTGTTCTTTGGAATTGATGTTTCTGTGTCCTTTGGGTAAATACCTAGGAGTGGAATTGCTGGATCATATGGAAGCTCTATGTTTAGTAGGTCCAGAAATCTCCACACAGCTTTCCACAGTGGTTGGACCAGTTTGCACTCCCATCAGCAGTGCAGGAGAGTTCCTTTTTCTCCACACCCTCGCCAACATTTGTTGTTGCTAGTTTTTTTAATATGTGCCATTCTCACTGAACACCAGGTAGTTTTAAACAGAAATTTGATGATTCTATATAAATAAGAGAATGCAGCGCCTCCCCTGGTGGTGCAGTGGTTGAGCGCCGGGCTGCGAAGCTGCCCGCAGCCTCTACAGTGCCGGTTTGATTCCCCCGCCACTGGAAAGGGTCCCACATGGCGTGACAGACCTCTTCTGCAGCACCCAGTGCTCCCCTCAGCAGTGTATTTCGTCAAGTCTTCCTGTTCTGTTCCCCGCTCTGGCTCTGGTGAATTCTCTCACCCTCCTGCACTTCTGACTGTACCCAGTGCTTGTATAAATAAATAAATCTTTAAAAATAAATAAATAAATAAATATGAGAATTTAATAATTCTCACAATAGAGGCTATAAATTACATTCAAGAGATGACTTTTTTTTTTTTAAAGATTTTATTTATTGAGCCTCCCCTGGTGGCACAGCAGTTGAGCGCTGGGCTGTGAAGCTGCCCGCAGCCTCTGAAGCACCAGTTTGATCCCCAGCCACCAGCGAGGGTCCCACATGGCGCACAGACCTCTCCTGCCGTGCCCGCTGCTCCCCTCAGCAGTGTATTTTGTTGGTCTGCCTGTGGTGTTCCCTGCTCTGGCTCTGGTGAATTCTCTCACCCTCTTGCGCTTCTGACTGTACCCAGTGCTTGCATAAATAATAAATAAATCTTAAAAAAAATTTTTATTTATTTATACAAGAACCAGGGTATAGGCCAGATGCGCGGGAGGGTGAGAAGATTCACCAGAGACAGAGCGGGGAACAGAACAGGCAGACCGACGAAATACACTGCTGAGGGGAGCAGTGAGCAAGACAGGAGAGGTCTGCCGTGACATGTGGGACCCCGAGATGACTATTTTAAAGGAAATTTTTAAAGATGCCTGTATTTCCTCAACAACTGGAAGTAACAAAGTAATTGTACTCAAGCTTCTACATTGCAACGCATCTGTGGGAAGAGCATTGCTCCCTTTTCCATTCATCACAATAATCGCATTACTGTTATGTATCAGGTTTCAGGTTCTCAATAATGGTACTCTATATTCTTTAGTTGAACAATGTACCAAACAAATCTCAACTATGCAAGGAGAATCTTCTTTATGTTGGACTGTCTTTTGTATAAAGTGAGTAAAACTCGAAGTTTTCATGAGGAAGTGAGAACGCCAGGTAATGAATGAGCACTTGCTATCTTCTGTAAGAATTAATGATAACTATGAAACAGAGGTGTTCAGATGAGGCAGAGAGAAGACAAAAGGCCAAGAGAGACACTTTCTTATACACACCACTCTCTAATCTCTTTTGGGACTGAATTACATTGTACCTAGAAGTTACTATTAAAAAAAGAGAGGAAACTTACAATGAGGAGACATTGGAAAATGTAGTTCAGAAAAAAAATTAACAACATAGCCTTTTACTTTAAGGGTATAAAGTTGAAGTGGGATGAATTTATGTAATAGTAATACCAAATCTACACAGACCTATTGTTCTCAAAGTCTTCATACTTCTATATTGCATCAAGCTAAAAAGTTCTTAACAACCACATTTTCATTTTTTGATAAATGTGTACATTCCTACAAGCATTCCCAATTCCAGAAAAATTACTGAAATTGGTCAAAGCTGCAAAGTACTAAAAAGAACATTATTAGAACCATATGATCTGACCATATGTTCCTACAGACATTTGTAACCAAAGTAAACATTCAAAATTGTCATGAATAGCCCACCTTGGAGGGAGTAGCATCAAGGAAAATCCCAAATTATAGTTTTATAAATGTTTTTTGTACCCTATATTGGATAAATGGATATTATTATAAAGTGTGTTGCCCTCAGCTTTTAGATGGGTAGAAAAGAGTTTAGATGATTCATTGATACTGAAAATAGACAAATGATAGGTGCTGGGTTATTTGATGTCAGCATTTACAGCTTCTTTCAACTCATTTACTTAATAAATATAATGCTGGGAGTACAGAAACAATAGGAACCAAACCAACACCAACCCTGCCCTATGCATTTTCTATAAAATGTTAATACAATTTATGGATTTCCCAGTGTTCCTTTTTAACAGCTTTTGTTTGCAATGTGTATACATTTGAAGAAATAAAAATGAAATGTAAAAATGGAAGATAAAATTTCAGTCTCTAAGCCATGCTAATAAAAAATAACTACATAGAGGCCTCCCCGGTGGTACAGTGGTTGAGCGCTGGGCTGCGAAGCTCCCTGCAGCCTCTGCAGCACCAGTTCTATCCCCAGCCACCTGCGAGGGTCCCACATGGTGCGCAGACCTCTCCTGCCATGGCTGCTGCTCCCCTCAGCAGTGTACTTCATCAGTCTGCCTGTTCTGTTTCCTGCTCTGGCTCTGGTGAATTCTCTCACCCTCCTGCGCTTCTGACTGTACCCAGTGCTTGTATAAATAAATTAATCTTTAAAAAAAAGTCTAAAAAAAAAAACTACATAGAAATTCTTAAAATTTCAAAGTAATTTTCAGCACATAAATCAAATTCTAATAGGTTTATTAGTCCTTTCGAAGGTGCATTTCAGGATACTGTGGTAACAATTATACATTATTTCAGTTTCCTAACAACTAACATTTAGATATTCAGATCTTTCAAAACACTTTCACATATCACATGTCATTTCATTGAATCCTCATGACAATACTCTTAAGATGATATTGCTTGCTTTCTTCATCTCAGAAAATATGAGGTAAAATATTATAACCAAGACCATTCACTCAAATATTGGCAGGGCTAGAATCTACCCAAAATTTACTCCTTTGACCCCAAATTCTGTTACCTTGATCCTTGTCTAAAGTGAAGTAAAAAGCTTTTATATAGTCTACTGTATTTGATACCCACCACTTTTGACCTTTTTTAAAAACATTATTATTTATGGGCCTCCCCGGTGGTGCAGCGATTAAGCGCTGGGTTGCTAAGCTGCCCGCAGCCTCTGCAGCGCCGGTTCGATCCCCGGCTGCTCCCCGGCCACCGGAGGAGGGTCCCACATGGCGTGCAGACCTCTCCTGCCGCCCGCTGCTCCCCTCAGCAGTGGACTTCGGTCCTTCTGCCTGCTCTGCTCCCCGCTCTGGCTCTGGTGAATTCTCTCACCCTCCCGCGCTTCTGACTGTACCCAGTGCTTGCATAAATAAATAAATAAATCTTTAAAAAAAAAATAAAATAAAAACATTATTATTTAGCTCCAGTTTTAAATGAAAACCAAAAAACAGAAGTTCATAGAAGTTAAATAACTTGTCAAGTCAGTCAGGTAGAATTGGAACACATTTCCAAGCCTAATGGCAACTGTTGTGCCCAAGGTCAGCCAACTCGGCGAGCATAGCCTCCAAGAACCAAAAGACAGCTGATGCAAACACAAAAGGGAGTTTATTTCAGACTTGAGTCCGGGTTCATGGCACCTACCAACGCAGTGGCAGATACCGAGAGCCCCGAACAAAGGAAGCAGGGGTCTTTTAATAAGGTTAAATTATGCTGGCAATTACTCATTGGCTACAAGGATGCGTTCTCCAACTTTGCCCGGCTATCATTCTAAGCTGACTGGCCAGGCCAAGATGCAGCTCCAACCTTCAGCTCCAATTACAGCAAGTTTGCCCTCATTGGTGACCGGAGAGTAAGGGTGGAATGAGGGTCCAAACTATCTCTGGAATACAGTCTTTTCCCAGCAAAACCTAAAATTCTAAAATGGCAGTTACACAAAGCAATGGCTAAGAATACTTATGCTTGGTTCCACAGCAACATAAAATCATGTATATTGCGGGCCTCCCTTGGTGGCACAGCAGTTGAGTGCTGGGTTGCGAGGCTGCCCGCAGCCTCTGCAGTGCCAGTTCAATCCCCCGCCACCGGCGAGGGTCCCACAAAAAAAAAAAAAAAAAAAAATCATGTATATTGCAATCTACCTTAAAGATTGAAATATGGAATTTTTAACTCAGTTCACTTTATTGTAATTTAGGTAAGCCTATGCCAAGGATGGCACGTAGTATGCCCTTTTATTTCCTGCCTCTTTCTACTTTAAGTAATAATTCAGCTCTACAAGCAATACAGTAAAGTCCTGACTGGCAAGGAGAGTTACTTGGGTCCTTTTATAAGAAATAAAAGAGATCAGTGTTTGAATGGGTAGTTAATATTTAAATATGAATGCAATTAACACCAATCTGAAAAAAACCAAGACAATGATTGATCCAAAATAATAACAATCAGTATTTAATTTCTTTAGACGCCTTCAATTATATATGAATCATATATAAAAGATGATGAAAATAGTTTAGATAAATGATATGTCACTTACACAATTTAGTACTTTATAATAGCAAGGATCCAACAGGCATTTTAATACTGAGTTTTGTAAGTGATGTAAAATAATGTGAGATGAAATTTGGGAAAAGCATAAGATAATCAAGATCATAAATTACTTAAAAAAGGAAGATTTAAAGAAACAAATTTATTAAAAAAAAAACCAACAGAGTACAGAAACATCTACTGATTATGCCTTGTTAATAAATGTAGCATTCCGTTTAATCAGTATTTACCATTAGATTTTCAAAGTTTAAATTCTTGGAACAGTAAGTTTCATACAACTTTTGTTTTCCTCCCAATACATTAAAGCTTATTTATTATAGGGGTAATTTGGTATAAGATGAGTTATTTTGGACCTAGTCCAAGATTTAGTTACTGAAAGCACTTCATTATAAGGTGGTTTCACCAATAAGGTGATCCAGTGGCTCTGGATATTCTAACAAGGCTCTGTGGATATTCTAACAAGGCTCCATTGTAGAATACAGGGGGCTGGGCTGCTAATGGTTCTATCAAATTAAAACTTATAAAACAAAAGTCTTTTTTTGTTGTTTTTGGTGGACACAAAGACCTTTTAAGGCTAGAGAACCATTAAGCCTAGGCCATCTGAATAAATTTCCATTTCCTGAAGTAATAATGTTCTTCATGTTTAATATCTACACAGATACTTTACAGTTTTACTTTCCTTAGATATTGTGTGGTGTGGACTTAAATCTATTGACAAAAGATTGTCAATTTGCATATGGAAAGATAAAAAATATGAGTTTATGAAGTTTAAAGCAAAAATCCTGTGTAGCTCATTGATAAACCTGAGGCTCAAAAGAGCATGAACAAGAATAATTGTGTGTTAATTAAGTACAAAAAAGACGCTATCACTTTGAGGTTAAATGACTGCAATAACCAATCTTCCACGCAATTATTTAACAGGCACACTGATTTCATGAAATTTATAATTCCGAAAGATTTAAATGTTTTGAATGTGTTTTACTACAAGAAAATATGACAAAGTCATATTGCAGACATATATGAAAGCCCTCTTAAGAGATTGTCTTGAATAGAAAGATCATAAGGAAAAATAAAGATAAAGCTTTATGTGAACTTAGAAACAGTGCCAAATTAAAAACCATGTGATAATTAAATGCATAGTAGCAGCACAGTTTGAGTTGTCATTAATTTCCAACATAAAAAGTTTTAAATAATTATCTAAAATTCAAAGATCAAACAATGAAACATTTACTCTTTACATTGTACCTTTCTTCCACGAATAAGGTCCCTTCTCCACCTGGTAGTTTTCCTGGTTCATGACCTGTATGCTCTACATACTTTCAGCCCTTGAATAAATTCAGTATCAGATGATTATTTCACATGCATTGAATGGGTAAGGCAAATTACCTGATAAACAACTTCTTATATTATCTCAAAAGTCTTAAAAAATAAACTAACCAAATAATATTCCCTTTCTACTATATAACAATTCTTTGTCTATCTGTCTATCTATCTATTATCTATCCTCTATCACTTATCATTAGGGAGAGAATATGTACACAACACATATGTGATTGATTTACTAACCATAATTGCTGGCTTACAACAAGCCAGACTGTCAATTTGCCTATGGAAATAGACAAAAAATACCATGAGTTTATGAAATTTAAAGGAAAAATTTCTTTAAAGTGTATAACTCATATGAATGTTCTCTCTCCTACTCTATTGTAAAGATCAGTATTTTATTTCTTGAAAAATCATGGTCAAAGTTGTGATCTGTGGAGCCTATTTTAACAGTTTCAATGTTTCAAATATTTTGAAATATCTCTTGGAATTACTAAAAGTTTGTGTTATATCTATATAAATTTTCAGTAATGGAATAATTTAATCTTGGAAAGAATTAAGATTTTGAAAAGAATAAAAAAGTCATTTCTAGGAAAAGGAGAGGGTATATGATACTGAGTTGGATAATAACACTAAAGCATATCTAAAAAATAAGAGGTTTGATTTTTCCCATTAGTTTGCCAATTCTTCTAAAGGCTATTTTAATGGTTCAAAAGTGTTTTAATGGTTGCACTAAATATCTTGCTTCCCCAGTTACTATGTGCATATTCATACAATTATTCCCCAGAGGTAGGTTAGTGTCATTTCACCTTTTCTGCAAAACAGTATGTTTTATTTTAAACATTTTGGAACAAAAACATACTGATTCAGAGTAAAATATCAAGAAATATTTCTTTTAATTGTGGATTTTTTTAAGCTGAAAGGGATCTGCATAATTTTATAGTACTAAACGCTGCATTTCACAGATGAAACTAATTCCCCAAGAGGCATGAAGCCTGCCAACATGACTCAGCAAACTAGTGGCAGAGTCAACAATAGAGCCCAAGTCTCTGTCTTCACCTGGTACTCTTTCCACTACCCTCTACCCTTACTGTAAATTAACTATACCAGAGAGGGAAATGGTTTCACTCTTTCAAAACAATTTAGAAATTCTGATTTAGTTGTAACTTATTCATTACTGGTTAATTAAGAAAAATATACCAAAAAAAAAAAAATAGAATGCTAAGTAGGATCTAATATATCCCAATCTACAGATTAATTCTTTAACTGGTAAACTATCAATTTAAATTTCTTTGAACTATGCTTAGGGTTGTAACATCCAATATTATAGAAACAATCATGCTGTATTCAATCTAAATGCCATCAAAGTAAAAGTAACACACATATGTAATTATTCCTTTCTTGAACTGAATACAAAAAAATACTTGACTGCTTAGGAATTTTGACTTGAAACCACTTCCACAACTTTAACAGGTCACAACACTTCAATTGAAATCCCTCACAAGATGCCTAAATATTCACTGAATAACAAATGTTTCTTAGGATATCATTTGTATGTATTTTTGGAATGATCTGAGAAGAGCATCTCTTATAACTATATGGCTTCAGCCACAGAAACATAATCAGACAAAATTTTCAGAAAAATTTCCTGAACTGTTCATAAGGGGACATATTTTAGCCAGGTATATATTAGAGATTGCTTATTAAATTTATTTGTGGACCTTTCTATCTAACAATTTCATAATTAAGGCCTTTATGCTAGAACATGCTGCTTCTTTCCACAATGAAGACGAAGCTAATTAGAACTGAAATTTTAACATTTAAAATTTTAAACTTGTATTGAAAATACTTGATCTTGGTTTGCTAAACACAAAAAAAGTAATTTCAATTAAAATTTTACATAGTTTTCTTCCTTAACTCTTACTCATAAGTAGGCAGTTTTACAAAATTAAATTTTTCAGGAAAACTTTGATTTCTAAAAAAAAAATTCCAGAATGAGCTGAGGCAAAATCTATAGTGAAACATGGTTGTGGTATGATTGGATTAGACTGCTATTAATTTTTAGGTATCAGTTTGAAAAAAAAGGACTAAAAGGGCCATAAAATAGACAAATTTAAAACTACATTTAACTAAGAAAGACTTGTTAGAGGAAAATATTTTGTACAAATCACTTTATCAAAACTTAAGAACAGTAAAACATATTTTTGAACATAAGACATTAAAACTATAATGATATTGAATGAAAGTGAAAATTATATCTAAAATTAAAGAAACTTTATCACTTATCCAGTGTATAGATAATTTACAACAGATAATATATTATCACAAGTGTGATGATATATTTTATAGCTTGACAAGTACTGTTACCTAACATCAAGGAACACACCTTTGTATTTTAGGAAGGAGAGAGTTTTAAGTTCTTTGTGTCTGTTTCATGAGCTTTTCCCAGTTCAATTCATTTATATGAGTTGTTTTCACATTACTACTAATGTCATCAATTTTACTTTCTTTAACATGCATGAAACTTTGTGTCTGTGCAATCCTCAGTATTCATTTCTTTGTCTGAATCCAATCCTTTCATAGCTCTGTTTTCAAAAAGATCTTCCACTAAAATGCAGTTTGAATTATTAGCTAATCTATTGTCCTGATCAGTTGCAACTAGTTGATTTATTTCCTCATTTGTTTCTATGGGATCATAAAGTTCAGGTGTGAAATAGATAGACTCATCTTCTGCTTCACTTTCAAAAGCTCTATTTGAAGTAGAAACTTGAGATTCTTCACTTACTGGAGACGATTCAACGTCTGGGGTTAGGGTTTCTTCACAACAGAGCAGCTGTTCTGAATGATTCTTTTTCAGAAGAGTAGTATCAGGCTTTATTGATGGAATAACAGTTTCTGATTGAGGGCACAGTTCAAATGATGTGTTTACTGTAGGAGATGAGGACTCACATTTATTGGTGAGTGGCAAAACAGTTTTATATCCCTTTTCTGTCTTGAAAGTGGAAGAACTAGAGGCATCATCTTCTAATGACCTGCACTGAGGTGCTGCAGTCAGAGTTTTACCAGTAAGACACTGTCCCAAAGAATTAAAGCTACACAAGTTGACTCCTTCTGCTTGTTTGTTGAAGGTTGGGCTTATAGATCTGGAAATCACAATTTTTTCTGGTTTCACTGCCTGGGCAGACTCTTTCACTAATACTGGATCATCTATGAATACAAAAATTTAATAGTTTTAACTTTCTGCTCCTAACAATGTAATTGTTATAGTAAAATTATTTTTATTGGATATGCTTAAATAAGTATATAGGGTACATAAAGTAGAAGCTGGATTTCTACCTTAAAACAGAAAGCATAAAATGAAAGGCATTTTATGCCTCCAGCGGCTCCACCCCAACTTATAATGCTGTCTGGTAAACTATCGAATTCTATACCATGTGCCTCAAGAAAAAAGGAGGGGTGAGGAGGAAGAAGACTGAGGAAGGAGGGCACAGGCTATAAAAATTTGCCATGAGGGCCTCCCTGGTGGTGCAAGGGGCTAAGTCACAGCACTAACAAGCTATCACCAGCCACTGCAGCCGGGGAGGAGACCCACATGGTGCAACAGACCTCTCCTGCCTTGCCTGCTGCTCCCCTCAGCAGTGTATTTCAGTAGATCGCCAGTTCTGCTCCCCACTGTCTCTGATGAATCCTCTCACCCCTGCCCCTCTGACCTAGACCTGTGTTCTTGTATGCATGAATAAAGAATAAATCTTAAAAAAAAAATTGCCATGAAAATGCACTAGCTAGTAATTGAGAGAAACTGATCTAGACTAATTTCCTTAAGGAAAGTGACAACCACAAAAGCTGTTATTTGCCTAAGTTTGCTTAAAGTTATAAAACTGATTAGTAATCAGAACTGGATTGGAACCTACATTTTCTGATTATCAGTATAATGGCCTTAAATTCACTATCACATTTATTTGCTATAAAAGCATATACTAAAAATAAATGTTTAAAATACGCTATCACCTTGATATATTAAATAAAACAACTAAAATGATGTCCAATGATACAGATCACAGTTCAGGAAACTTTTTCGGTATGCAAACTTATTCTGTAATGGACCATATAATAAATATTGCAGGATTTGTGTTATAGCATGCCTATTGCTACTACTCAATTATGCTGTTGTCGACAAAATGTAAATGAATAGGCATGACTGTGTTCCATTAAACTTTATTTACAAAAACGGCAGGAAAAATCTGGTTCACAGGCCAGAGTCTGTCAATCTGATACAGACCATTATATTCTAATATATTTTAAAATATTATTTATCATTTATGAGAAATGACTCTCATCCTTAAACTAAGAAATTCATGTAAGAGAAGTTATTTATAAGGTAGACCAGTTTTTAATATCCCCTTTAGAATGACAACTACTCTTTGTTTAGTACCTCACAATGCTGTGATACTTACCTTATTTGATCTTTATTTATTTATTTATTTTCAAAGTTCATTTATTTATTTATTTATTTATTTATTTATTTATTTATTTATTTATTTATGCAAGCACTGGGTACAGTCAGAAGTGCTGGAGGGTGAGAGAATTCACCAGAGCCAGAGTGGGGAGCAGAACAGGCAGAAGGACCAAAGTACACTGCTGAGGGGAGCAGCGGGTGCGGCAAGAGAGGTCTGTGCACCATCTGGGACTCTCGCTGGCAGCTGGGGATCGAACTGGTGCTGCAGAGGCTGCAGGCAGCTTCAGCTGCGGGCAGCTTCGCAGCCCAACGCTCAACCGCTGCGCCACCAGGCAAATAAGGGGAGGACCCCTTATTTGATCTTTAAAAACCCAACCTGGTGGGCTTCCCTGGTGATGCAAGGGGTTAACCCGCAACCTATGATGCTATTCACAGCCACTACAGCATGAGTTCAATCCCTGGCCAGGGAGATACCCACATGGCGCAGCAGACCTCTCCTGTCTCACCTGCTGCTCCCCTCAGCAGTATATTTCAATCTACCTGTTCTGTTCCCCACTCTGTCCCTGGTGAGTCCTCTCACCCCTGACACCTCTGGCCTGTACCCCAGTTCTTGTATGCATAAATAAATAAATCTTTAAAAAAAAAAAAAAACCCAACCTGGAGGAGGATTTATACAGTTATTCCTCTTTCCATTAAGACTCCAAAAAGTGGGCCTCCCCTGGTGGCACAGCGTTTGAGCGCTGGGCTGCGAAGCTGCCCGCAGCCTCTGCAGTGCCGGTTCGATCCCCAGCTGCCAGCGAGGGTCCCACATGGCTTGCAGACCTCTCCTGCCGCCCGCTGCTCCCCTCAGCAGTGTACTTCAGTCCTTCTGCCTGCTCTGCTCCCCGCTCTGGCTCTGGTGAATTCTCTCACCCTCCCGCGCTTCTGACTGTACCCAGTGCTTGTATAAATAAATAAATCTTTAAAAAAAAAAAAAAGAATTGGGTAACTTTTAAACACATAATTCACAAAAAACAAAAACAAAAACAAAAACAAAAAAACTCCAAAAAGTTAAGAGACTTGTTTATGGTCACAAAGCTAATTAATGTGTTTGTTAGTGGAAAACCAGAAAATATACTCAGGTTTCCTGACAAAAGTTGTTTCCACTGTAGTACACCCTACAGTTCCATTATCTTAGAATAACTTCTCATATTAAAAAGAAACCAACATATTTAAGGAAACCAAACTATAAAATAATAAATATGATTTTATAAGTATAATAATGAAAGACATCTTTATCAAATATAAATGAGCAGAACTTTTCATACCTTTTTCTTTTCTGGAGACGATGCCACTTGGTAGAGATGGATTCATTTTAGGGCACTGTAATTCTTGGGTGCACATTTTTGCTTCATTTTCCCTAGGATTTTCTGGTGATAGATGATTTGCTGTCTCTGAGAAGTAAGTAGAGGTAATAATGTCTTTGGAAAACGCCACTTCAAGTGTAGACTCACTGTCCTTTCTGGACTTCCTTTCTTCTTTGGATATATCAATGTCTTTTTGGTGCTTTTTGGAAAATTCAGCCAAGGACTCCAAAGCACTTTCAAAGGTTGAATGATGATGAACCTGCTGCCGTACCCATTTCGAAAGTCCTAAAGAAAAAGATAAAGCTAGTATAGAAACTGGTTATTTAGTTATTAAAATAGTATACATCAAGAAAAAAAGGTAATTTTCTAATAAAGTAATGTATTTAAATTTTTTAATGAAGTAATCCACTTTGAATTTAGAGTAGAATTATTTTCATTTTTCATGTCTTTTTACCTTCATATGTATAATATACTCAGTGTCAGTAACATTTCTCTTTATATGCAGTGATTGATTTTCCACTGGTAGGAGGGGAGAGGCAGTGGAACTAGAGCAGGGAGGAGGAAATGTATTATTTCTCCACTTCTAATAACTGGGGAATAGGTGAATTTAATTGGCTACCTTTTCATTGCAGGGGAACTAGAAGTTGTAAACAATACAACCTTCCATTTTAGCATTTAAATTTTACTACTTTGCAAAAATAAATTCAAGTTTCCAGTCTCATAGGTTTTTTTGTTCCCTTACTCCCAATTACAAATATAAGTTAAACTCTTCTATGGGTGAAAGGAATAACAATTTTATGGGTAAATAATATCCTATCTCAGTATTATTACAAATGTATATAGTTATTTTTTAATATGTAAATAATTAAGTTGTAAGGGGTAAGATTTGACCTGTGACAAATAAAACATGGCATAAAAACAATTTACGAGCATAAGGTATTCTGTAGTATCACTCCAGTGTGAATTTTAAAATCAGATCTTTAGAGTTTTAGAAAATAAATATGCTTTGCTGATGCCACTAAAACTATGACCATCTTTTGGAGTATTTTAAAGTCACTAGTATAAGTTCAAAGTAAGTAAAACAGGGTTCTAAGCAACTAAAACTTCATTGTAAACACATTTATTTAGTTTGTTCTTTTTCTATCAATCTATATTTATGCAAATAGAATCTAAACATAAAATTAGTCACAAACGGAATGTGTTGCAGTGCCACATAGCATAGATAAGAAAAGATTTCACTTTACGAATCTCAGAAAAAATAAAAACCATACAGAAATAATGAAAAATATTCAAAGAACATGCACAAATCTGAATTTGAAATAAAAACTTAAGTTCCAGATTTTAAAATAAGGGAAAAAAATTAAGTAAACATTACCTTTGAAATTTTTTTTGTCTGCTTGGGGTAAATATTTATACCAAACTGAAATACGAGCTCTTCCAAAATTGAAAAATTTTAGTATTATACATTACATCTTTCATTCAACTTTTTTAAATCAAAGAAAGTCTTTTCATTATAAAATACCATTGTTTGCTTTTGAAAACTTGAAAGAATCTGAGCTCCACCTGCTGACTAAACATTAGCACATAACATTTTCTTAGTTGTATTTTGACCTAAGTACAATGGCTTGCTTTACATAGAAAGAGAAGAAAAGAATAAAATAGCAGCATTTAATGCTATAATTCAGATGGGTATATTTACATACAAACCAAACACAGTATGGGCTCTGAAGTGGAAAAAGTAGAGTTCATACCCACAGACAGCTAATCTGAAACAAATTTAAAATTTAACTTCTCTTCATTAGTATAATATGACCTTTGTAGCTTTAAAATTAATAATAAAAATGCTAGTATATCCTAAGTTCTTTAATAAAGGATGGATTTCTGGTATTGACTTTAAAGGGACTGTATTACTACTGGTTTAAAAACCACAGGCATATAATATTTGAGTGGGGGAAAAATAATCATCAATTTGATCTTGCAGAAAGCAGCATGCTTTTTCCTTTTAGAAAACACTAGCTCTAACATAAGAAGCATTTCTTATACTTCATACCACAGAACACTTCATAACTGGAAGCATTTCTAAACAAACAAAAAAAATCTCAACATAACCCAGAATGAAAAAATAAAGAATTGTAAACAGTCAAAGGAGATGTACTTATGTGCTAGATATAAAATTTTAATAGTTTCTGGAAAATCTGTTTCTGTGGAACAGCTTTTCCCTTGACAAGGCCAAATAAAATATTACTACGTTATGGGTTCATATCTCATATTCCATGAAAATTAAGGATCTGAATTGATTAATACTATGCTGGTACATGAAAATCAACTCAAAATGAGTAAGACTTGGATGTAAAACCCAAAACCATAAAACACATAGAAGAAAACAGGCACAACACTCCATGACATAAACCTCAGAAATATCTTTGCAGACTCATTTCCAGCAGCAAGGAAAACAAAGGAGGAAATAAATAACTAGGACTATATCAAACTAAAAAGCTTCTGTACGGTGAAAGAGACAGTGACCAAAAGAGACACCCTACTGAATGGGAGAAAACGGAACATTGTTGGTGGGAAGGTAGACTGGCCCAACCCAATGGAAAGAAGCATAGAGATTCCTCAAAAGACTAAAAATTAATTTACCATATGATCCAGCAATCCCACTCTTCTGTATCTACCCAAAGAGCACAAAAATACTAATTTGAAAAGAAACCTGCACTCCTATGTTTATAGCCAAGAGATGGAAACAACTTAAATGCCCAGAACAGAACAGATGAACAGATCAAGAAGATGTGGTACATATACACTATGGAATACTATTCAGCGATCAAAAACGATAACCTCATGCCATTTGTGGCAACATGGATGGAAACTGAAGGTATCAGTCTAAGGAAGTGAGCCAGAAGGAGAAAGACAAGTACTAGATGATTTCACTTATAGGTGGAATCTAGAGAAGCCATACGATCAAAGACAAACTGTAGGACAGACCCTTGAAAGCAGACTGTAGATCTGGGACATTCAGGAGGGGACAGGGAGGGAGAGAAGTAGGGTAAAGTGGGGAAAAGAGTGCAGTGGAGTGTGGGGGAGGACTGTTGGGCACGTTGGTGGTGGGAAAACTATGGTGATGGTACCTGAGGGGGAAAAATCCTATATTCTGAAAAAATAAACAAGGATGTTTTTTTAAAAATATGATATTGGTGGGTCTCCCCTGGTGGCGCAGCGGTTGAGCACTGGGCTGCAAGGCTGCCCACAGCCTCTGCAGCGCTGGTTCATTCCCCAGCCGCCTACGAGGCTCCCACAAAAACAAACAAACAAACAAAAAAACAAAAACAAAAACAAAATACTATATTGGTAACCAAGCAGATTCTTTTCTATAAAGATTTTGTTTTTTGTACACATAACAAGCATTAAAAACTAGATTTCCAGTCAATGTGAAGTTTTCTATGTTTGTTCCATTAATTCAAACTCTCTGTCCAATGCATTGTCTTTAGAACTTCATTAAATACCAAAGATTGTACTAATTCTTACTCTTAAGTCCAGCTGAAAATCTTACCAGATATATATCGATTTGGGTTACTCCTAAAGCGATCATCCACTAGAATTAGAGCTCCCCAATCATTTTTGTGCCGAATACACCTATGTAACAAATAGGGAGAAAATAAAATAAATATAATTTTGAAAATAACTGCCAATTTCTAATAGGATAGAAAGGAATTTGCAAAAATTAATGATAGACATCATTATATTATGTGCCTTTAATCAAAATTATTAATATGAACATAGCTATAAAAGCAATGCAATACAATATACCTAAGGGAAAAAAAACCCACTTCTGCCAATTATAAAAACTCACACCCCAAAATGCTAAACATAGTCTATTTTGAAAGTCCAGAAAGCTTCCAAAATCTTCCCTAACCACAGACTATTTTTTAACCTAAATATTAGCGGTAGATCTGTATTCCAGTTTCATAAATTTTTATCATGAATGAATGGTTAATTCTATTAAAAAAAATTTGGCCTGGGACCTCCCCTGTGGTGCAGCAGTTGAACGCTGGGTTGCGAAGCTGCCCGCAGCCTCTGCAGCGCCAGTTTGATCCCCGGCTGCCGGGCCAGGGTCCCACATGGCGTGCAGACCTCTCCTGTGCAGACCTCTCCTGCCGTACCGCTGCTCCCCTCAGCAGTGTATTTCATCATTCTGCCTGCTCTGCTCTCCCCTCTGGCTCTGGTGAAGTCTCTTACCCTCCCGCGCTTCTGACTGTACCCAGTGCTTGTATAAATAAATAAACAAATCTTTAAAAAAAAAAAATTTGGCCTCAAGTATACTGGAAAAATTTCAAATATTAAGCCAGCTTTTCATTTCTAGTGTAACCACATGTGATCATGGTGCATTGTTGTAGTATGTTAATTTTTTATTAAAATTTGTTTTAATTTTAAGTGTACAATTTAGTAGTTTTTAGTAAATTGATAAGATTTAACAACATATACCATTAACCATTATAGAACATTTTTTAGTTTAGTGTTTGCTTATTAGGGAATATCCTACATCCTCCATTTTTAAGAGATAATTTTGCTAAAGAATTGGTTGACTCTCCATTTGGATTATGTCAATTCATTGCTTTCTTCTCTTCATAGTTTCTAATGAGAAATCTGTTTAGATTATTAAGGATGTCTTATATGTGATGAGTTGTTTTTCTCTTGCTGCTGTCTAAATTCTCTTTGTCTTTCGATAGTTTAAGTATGACATGTCTATGTACAGATCTTTTTTAGTTAAACTACTTGAAGTTTACAAATTTTCTTAGATGTGTAGATAATGTTTTCAACATTTGGGGGGAGTTTTAAACTTTATTTATTCAAATAATCTTTCTGCTCCTTTCTTTCTCTTCTTTGTAAGACTCCCACTATGTGCATATTTGTATACTTGATGGGATCCAACATGTTCTGGAGGCTATGTTCACTAAAAATCTTCATTTTTTTCCCCTTTCTGTCCCTCGGATTGAATAATCCAAATTGATCAGTCTCTTAGTAAATGGATTCTTTTTCCTCATCAAATCTGCTTTTGAGCCCCTCTAAATGAGATTTTCATTTCAATTATTCTCCTTTTCAACACCACAATTTCCTTTAGGTTCTTTAAAAAAAATCTTTTTTAACATTCTCTATTTGGTGAGACATAATTCTCAGCTTCTTGTAGTTTTTTTTTTATATTTTTCTTTTAAATTTATTTATGCATGCAAGAACTGGGGTATAGGCCAAAGGTGTAGGGGTGAGATGATCCATCAGAGACAGAGTAGGGAGAACAGGCAGATCTACTGAAATACACTGCTGAGGGGAGCAGCAGGCAAGACAGGAGAGGGCTGCTGCACCAAGTGGTTTAGCTCCCTGGCTGAGGCTCAAAATCATGCCTCAGTGGCTGGAGATAGCTTGAGAGCACTGAGACTTTAACCTCTGCCCCACCAGGGAGCCCCACTTTCTTGTAGTTCTTTTTTTTTTTTTTTAAAGGAAGTTTTTTTTTTTTTTTTTTTTAAAGATTATTTATTTATTCACACAAGCACTGGGTACAGTCAGAAGCGTGGGAGGGTGAGAGTATTCACCAGAGCCAGAGCGGGGAGCAGAACAGGCAGAAGGACCAAAGTACACTGCTGAGGGGAGCAATGGGCAGCAGGAGAGGTCTGCATGCCATGTGGGACCCTTGCCCGGTGGCCGGGGTTCGAACAGGTGCTGTGGAGGCTGCGGGCAGCTTCGCAGCCCAGCGCTCAACTGCTGCGCCACCGGGGAGGCCCCACTTTCTTGTAGTTCTTCAGACATAACTTCCTTAGTTCTTCAACCATATCTAAAATAGGTTTTATATTAAGTACAATGTCTGGACTTTCTTAGGGACACTTTCTATTGCTTTTTCCCCCATGAATGGGGCATTCATTCTTTGTACTTGTCATAATTTATATTGCAAACACTGTATTTTAAATAATGTGTCAATTGTAAAAATCAGATTCATCACCCTCCTCAAGGTTTGTTGTTGTTACTGATGTGTCTTCTCTGAAACTATTTTGTAAAGTCTGTATTTGGTCATATATGACCATTGCTAATTTAGCTTAGTGGTCAGTTAATGATCAGACACTGATTTTCTTAAATGTCTGGAACTAACACCTCCCATTTTTTGCTAAGAAGTTCTGCTTATGTTTTTTGGACATGCTTTGAACTCTCAGCCATGCAGGTGACAACTGTTTGAATCTGAATTTTCTCTACAGCAGACCCTCAAGGTTAGCCTGAGCTGAGTGGTTAGGGCTTTCTCAGATCTTTTCAGCATGTGGGCATCTCTGGTCATGTGCAGAGTCCTACATACATGTGTGGCCTACTGAATTTCCAAGAATATGTTGTAAGTTTTAAAGCCTCCCAACAGACATCTCATTTCGTTTTTCCCTTTAAGATTTTAAGTTAGCTGACTATTTGACCCAATTTTCACTCATTGTCTTAGGAAGCTATGAAGTTTAAACAATTGCCTAGGTTTGATGGAAGTCAGGTCAAATAAAGACAGCCTTGTAAATGGGGTCCTCCAGCGAACTACAATGATAATCCTCTGAAAATGAGGTCCCATTCCTTCAGGGGCTGAGGGTTGCTGACTTTCACCATATTTTAAAGCTACTGTGTACGTGGACAGCAGTGATGGGAACTGGGTAAGTTAAAATACCACAAAGTTCATTATTCTTTTTTTCTTTTTTTTTCAAAGATTTATTTATTTATTTATACAAGCACTGGGTACAGTCAGAAGTCGGGAGGGTGAGAGAATTCACCGAGCCAGAGCAGAGAGCAGAGCAGGCAGACTGACAAAGTACACTGCTGAGGGGAGCAGCGGGCGGCAGGAGAGGTCTGCGCACCATGTGGGACCCTCGCCCAGCAACCGAGGATAGGGGACAGGGGAATAGGGGACCGGGATAAGGGATAGAACCGGCGCTGCGGAGGCTGCGGGCAGCTTCGCAACCCAGCGTTCAACCGCTGCGCCACCGGGGAGGCCCCTCAAAGTTCATTATTCTTAATGAGACCCAGCTATTTGTCATGAATATATGTTTTCTGGAATGGTGTAAACTTTGGTTAATTTCCAGAGTTTTTAAAATGTTGATTCTATTTTGTGTTTTTCTCATTGTTTTTACTGAGAAAAGAATTTTCAGAGATCTTCACTCCATCATTTTATGGATCTCACCCAATTTGCTAATATTTTGTTAATTATATTTTTTCTATGTTCAAGACAGATATTGTCTGTTCTTTTTTTTTTTTAACCATACTATTTTTACCTAATTTCAGTAGCAGAATAATGCTGGCTTCATAAGTCATTCAATCATTCATCTGTTTTGTAGTGTTCAAACTTTTTTGACATCTCATCTGTCACTGTCCCACCTCTCACTCTTTTAACTTGTAGATTTGCATATTTATTTCTTAAGTATCAAGGAATTTTGAGAGGGGATAGAGATTGACATAAATGATAAAATTTTCCACAGAGGCTTTAAAAATCTAAGTTTTATATGATATTTTTCTTAAAATATTGTTTTAAAGTAATCCAAAGGTTTCAAAGCATTACATCTTAAAGTTGAGCAGGATAGGAAGATGGCAATTGCCAATATTATAGAACAGTGTTGAAAATCATATGCCTATCTATTTTGGTTCCATTTTGATTTATTTTTCATGTCCTCTGGTATAAATACATTTAAATTAACAAAACAGTTCAGAGAAAAAGGTTTCGCCTTCTCTCTTTTCCAGTGTTTTCATACTGCCTTGATCAAGTGAATTATGCCCACTTGAGACAAAGATTATACTTTTAGTAAAGCAGATCCATTAGGAAACTCAGTACAGTTATAACCTGGTCACAAAACCATCTGGTACATTCCTGAAAATTGTTATTACATTTCATGAACTTATATTACTTCAAATACTCTAACAGTCCCCATAAGGGCTTAAAAAAAATAACTTTTTTTTTTTTTTACCTCAACTTGTTTCTGCTTACTTTAGACCTTCTAGACATGTCACCTAGAAGAATGGTGCCTGAGTTTTCTGGCAATCAACACAAATTATGAGTATTATCACATAAATATATAAAGCATTTCCTTGATTTTAAATAGATACATTTCTCTGCAATAAGCTAATTGTTGATATTGTTTTCCTGAAAATTAGCAAGTAACAATGGGACTATCCATTTTTTAATTAATAAAATGATAAAACTACAGTGTATAGCAACATCGCAAACACATACTTTTCATAAAATTCTAGAACAGTATGTTTTGAAGCTGTAGAAGCTCTCTGGCTAACATGATATAATAGGAAAAGAAATGGACCTGGCATTCTTCATTAAATCAACAAGACTTTACTGTGCATCTAAGCCCCAAACTGAAATGCAATTTGTTGTATTTCAGTATACAATTGTATACAATTTGTTGAGAATGCAAAAATGTATAATATATGTTTAAGGAAGGAGATAGATACCTATATCTATATCTATATATATATACACACAAGCAAATATATATATATATATATATATATATATATTCATCACAGATACACATGTACATATACAGGCTACTGCAACACATGAGATATATGCTATAACAAACAGAATTTGTATGAAAAGTGTTTCCTAAGATATAAGTAACTTAGTTGGAGAAACTATTAAGTCTTCATAAAGGATATGACCTGCAACTAGGTTTTGATTTTAAACTAGCCAAATGAATTAACTGTATGGTAGCTTCTATGCCAAGGCAGAGAGTAATGAAAGGATACCGCATATTTAATAGTTTAATAGTGATATGTTTGTTTCATAGCAACAATTTTAGTCAACAGAGATAGAATACAAGGATGACAATACAGGTCCTGAGGGTTTAAAAATAGGTGGAGCCAAGATGTGAAGGGCAATTTAGTAGCTATGTGATATTAGACAAATAATTTCATTTCTTATAATCTGTTTAAAAGGTTTATAAAAATGACAAAGTAGGGAATGAATCCAGCTTTGATTCAAATGGCTTCTTGAAATTCAAAGTATATTAAATGGAAAAAATAATCAACTGAGGTAAGAATATTTATTTTCCTGAATATAAGTATTGGGACTAAATGTCAAGAACTTTATATATTTGGGCTCCCATAGAAACAATTTGCTAAATAATACATTTAAATTAATGGTTCATTTATTAATTAATGTTAACTAAGATTAGAATGGGTCAATCAACAGGGAGAAACAAAGTAATCAGAAGAAATGCCTCAAGAACATTCTGCAGTGAAATTTGAGGCTAAGTATCAATGGGACTTCTGGGCAGAAAAGGGCAACATCTTAACCCTATCAGTAGATTAACCATGGAACTGAATTGCTCAGTTTGAAGAGAAACACATGCAGAATAACACTCTGAAATGATAGGGAGGAGAGTGGGTGCTTTCTGGGAGTTAGATATGGCAGTTCCACGTCACTTGGTGTACATAAATCCAAACTCAAATACAATGGACTGCTTATATGCAAATGGGCTAATGTGAATGGACAAGATACTTTGGAAAAATCTAAATTCTGGATTTGATTAGCTGTGGGCCTTTTGGCTGAACTGAAATATGTCAAATGTCACAGTTTTATGATTCTATTTTTTTTTTTTAAATATTTATTTATTTATTTATTTATTTATGCAAGCACTGGGTACAGTCAGAGGCACAGGAGAGTGAGAGAATTCACCAGAGCCAGAGAGGGGAGCAGAGCAGGCAGAAGGACCGAAGTACACTGCTGAGGGGAGCAGCGGGCAGCAGGAGAGGTCTGTGCGCCATGTGGGACCCTCCTCCGGTGGCCAGGGAGCAGCCTGGGATTGAACCGACGCTGCAGAGGCTGTGGGCAGCTTCGCAACCCAGCGCTCAACCGCTGCGCCACCAGGGAGGCCCATGATTCTATTTTTAATCTGGGTTTTTTTTTTCTCTAATTATATGAATGTCTTACAACCTCACAGAAAAACTATACATGGTTAAACTAATTACAATTTCATTAAAAGAAAATATAAAATAGTAAATTACATTATAAAAATATAATAATTAGTGTTCATAAATTAAAAGCTGATGTTTTACATTACAAAATTATGGTATAAAATAGCGACATAGAAACTAGTTTCACAAAGCACAAATTTTAATGGACCAGAATTCACAGAAAAAGGATTATTATAATTAAATTTAACTGTTAGTTGCATTAATTCTTCAGTACCACAAGCATGGTTTGTTTTAACTCCTGAATGGTTTGCTTTTTCACCTATAAAATCATGATTTGTGATGTTTACAAGATAAAACTTTTATTGTTTGGGGTGAGCTTTTATAAACATTTAATGAATACCTTTGTAAACTTTTGGCAAATTTTGAGTTTTATTTTAAGTTTCATTTATTCCATTGACTTTTCAACTTTCATTTATGATATATCACTGAAATTACACCAACTGCTAGGGTCTCAGTGAAATAAAATTTTACCAAATCCACTATAAGGAGTAAAATAACAAGGTGAGTTGTACTACAGCTCCAGTCACAGATAATATTACAATAACAAATTCCACTTACCTGCCTAGGGCCTGGTTCAAGGCCCTGTATGCTTGAATTTCATACCATTGACGGCCTGGTAAAAGACCCCTCAATTTTGAATGATGGTCATTATATTGTCGCTTTAGTTCAACCTAATATTTAAAAAATGTATTTAAAATACAGTAGATAATTAGAGCTTATTTTAAATTATTAACTTCTAACATGTTTAACAGGGCATTTTATTAGTGCAGAAAGTTTTTTTCAGTAATAAATTTTTTTCAATTCATTTTAAAACATTTCTAATCATCCTTACATTTCCTAAATTCCCACATGCATATAATCAGTTAGCTAAGTGATGTCAGTTTTGTTTTATTGAGAAATAATTTACATATAATAAAATTCAGAAACTCTCAAGGTATAAGTAAATGAATCCTGACATTCACAGTTCATGTAACCACCACCACAATCATAATTCAAATACTTTCAGCACCCCAAAAAGTTCCTTCCTATCCCTTTTCAGTCAATTTCCTTTACTGCTGACTTGTCAACAAATGATCTGCTTTCAGGTTTGCCTTTTCTTGAAAGAGAAATATTTCCATCAGTTTTATTATGTACTACATAATAAAATTGGTGTGTCTCTTTTCATTTGGCATAATGAGTTTGTAATTCATTGATGTTGAAATGTACATCAGTAGTTTGCTCTTCTATGTTTGTCCAGTCTGATAATTTCTGCTTGTTAATTTGAGATTTTAGACCACTCACATTAATAAAATTGCTGCTGTGATTAGGTTTAAATCTACCATTTTACTATCTTTCATTGATTCCAACTTTATTGGGGGGGAAATAAGTTTTTTTTTTAAATCTTCTGATGCTTCCATTTTATTTCTACTACTGGCTTATTAGTTACTATATAATTTTATTTTTTAATGATTGTCCTAGGATTTTTTAAAAGATTTATTTGTTTGGGGTACAGGCCAGATGTGCGGGAGGGTGAGAGGATTCACCAGAGACAGAGCAGGGAACAGAACAGGCAGACTGACAAAATACACTGCTGAGGGGAGCAGCGGGCGAGACAGGAGAGGTCTGCCGTGCCATGTGGGACCTTTACCAGCTGGCCGGCCGGGATCAAACCAGCACTGGAGAGGCTGCGGACAGCTTCACAGCGCTGTGCTCAACCGCCTGTGCCACCATGGGAGGCCCTGTCCTAGGATTTTTAAAACTGATAAACTTTTTGATAACCAAACCAAAATAAGAAAATTCAAATAAAACTATAAAGAAAAGATTACATTACAACTGATTCTACAAATACACAAAGGCTCATAAGAAACTACTATAGACAGTCATATACATAGGATAACCTAAAAAGATGAATTTTTAGAAACACAACCTACAAATACTAAACCATGAAATAAAAAAATCTATGAACATCTATAATAAGTAAGGAGATTGAAAAAGTAATCAAAAGCCTCCCAACAAAGAAAATCCTAGGACCAAATGGCTTTACCAATGAATCCTACCAAGAATTTAAGACTTAAACCTTCCCCAAATACTGAAGAGTTAAGGAAACACTTTCAAACTCACTTTCAGAGGTTAGTACCACTCCCATACCAAAGCCAGACAAGGACACAATGAGAAAATTAATTATTATCCTTGATAAACACAGTTGCAAAACTTTTCAATAATAAAAAAACACCAGCCAACAAAATTCAACAGTACATTGAAACGATCATATAAGAAAAACAAATGGGATTTATTTCTACAACACAGTAACAAAATGAAGATAAAAATCATATGTTCATATTAATAGATGTAGAAAAGGGATCTGACAAAGTTCAACATCTTTCCATGATAAAAATTCTTAACAAATTAGGTTGTAAACATAAGAAACATGAGTTATCAATAGACAAGCCCACAGATAACATCATACTGAATGGTGAAGAGATGAAAGTTTCCTCCACTATGTTAAGACAAATACTTTATAATGATCATTCTTCCTATGATTATAGTTACTCTAGGAAGTAGTAGTTATAAAAGAAATATTTATAAATAATATAGCAACTACTAGATTTAAATAAAAAAAAAGATCACGCCTGTCTTTTAGTTTTCATTGAAGAAAATTAAATTTTAGGTTTAATCCCATTATTTCAATTTCTTAGAAACTGTCAATACTTTTTTCAATCCAAATAGCCTTTAAAGTACTCTCAAATATTTTACTTAGGGGAATTATTTTAGCTGAAAAATAAAGAAAAAAAAAAAATGTTTTGAACATTAGCATATACAAAGGCTAACTTTGAACTATTTTTTTATTATATAAAGAAACAGCTTTAAAATTAATAAAAAAATAATGTCTTTGTGGGAACACATTTAATTAGGGAAAGCAAAATGGAGGTTTGGAAAAGGCTGGAAGCCAGTACACTTCATTTTAATGACATCAGAATCTATTTCATTGTACACTTAGGAATTATCAAGCACGAAAATCAATGCCCAATTTAAAATGACATAAAGCATATGTGAAAAAGCCAGTGTCTCCTGCCAGCAAATAGCCTAAATGTTAAGTAAACCAAAGACTGAAAGGGATTAGTTGAAATATCAAGACAACCTTTTACTTTTACCTGCTCATCCTTATAAACACATTTTCATCCCTCAGGCATGCTTTCCAAACAAACAGTTTCAATGTGTAGCAGCAAAAGGCCCATGGCAAGCTCTGCCATCTCATAACTGTCAAAGAGATTAGTCTTTGATCTATTTGGGAGGTCATGTCCACATTCACATTAGCTATATAGTCTAACATTATACCTGTTGACCAGAGCTTCTTTAATGCCCAATGAGAGAGAGATTTTATATTCTGGAAGTTAACTGTGAATGTTTTCTCTAAGTTTTGACAGAAAGTAAACACCATAAACTGAGCTCAAGTGTGGTTTGGAAAGATGATCTTTTAGACCTGTTAACATTACTTTTTGAATACGTTTTACAAGGTTTTCCCAAAAATAAAAAGCTGTATTTAATTGTACAACCTGGAAGGAGTTTAAACCACTTGTTCCCCATCCCCAATAAATTAATGTATGTGTAATTTTGGAGGGGGTGTGTGAATAACAGATAGGAGGCAAAATCTTTTATCGGAGGTTACAAACTGAAGGCCCAAAGTTGTGTTTTGTGTGACTCTTAATGCAACTTAAAACTATCTGAATGATTTGCCAACACTCAATTAGCTCACTAATTTTAAATAAAATAATCTTTTTAACTCCTGTAGTAGGTTGAAATTGGAACCTATTAGTTCAGAAGCTGCACTGACTCACAAAACATTTTTTTTTTCCATAACTGGAGTTCAAAGTTCACACAAAATGAAAATACAATAATTTCTACACAAGTGAAAATAGATTTGCATCAAAAGCTAACTTGACTTGCAGAGATGAAGTAGAGGTGAAATCCTCAGAGTGAAGATGAATAATCAAGATAGAAGTGGTATTTACAGAATTATGTAAAATTACATAATAATAGTATTCAAGCATAAGTTATATGGTGATAGATTCTGATTTCACCATTATAATGTTCTTGAGATCAAACAGTAAATTCTTTAAGTCCTCCAATGACACAGTTTTATTGCAGATATATATTTTTGTATACTACTGATAGTAGTAGTGCATATTAAACAAGCAAAAGGATTGTATTGCATATGTCAACAAGAAATTTTAGTCACAATTATGAACATTAGATTATTTTTTAACTTAGTCAAACCCAACAGTATTAGCCTTAAATAGTGCTGTTCAAGAGTAGACTTTTATAAGTTTTACAAGTAGCTTCTGCAGAAATAAATGGTGTGATAAATATGAGGTGGAACTATAAATACATCTCTTCACTTTACTACCACCTCTTGTGAAAGATGATGGAATTTTTCCCAATTTATATAAATATGTATTATGATTTCAAGTAATAAATACTGTCATACAAGCAACATAGGCAAAATATATACTTTTTCTTTCATATAAGCTTTATGACAAAAGTTCAAGCCTCAAAATAAGACTAAGACCAAATAATCAGCTAAATGTACTAGATTAAATACTAAGAAAACTATGCCTCAGAAAAATAAACACATTTGTCTAGCAAACACTCAGAAAGAATAGTTTTATCTTCAGCCAAGGTACACCCCTAAGACATAAACATTTATAGCAAACCAAATCTAGAAGACAAAGCCTGTGCATTAGAGACATTTACTGCTCCATATCATCACAGTGTAAACACTTTTATCATGGTATCACAATATAAATTCCGATGTTTAGGATTCTAAACTCAGCGTAACATCGTGTATGTGAAATAATTTAGATAGATAAAAGGAATATAGCTGGTTTTATTTCATCTGGCATATTTTCAAGATTTCTGAAACACCAAGTTAACCAAATATAGCATATATGTATTTTTTTTAATGAGGAAAAAAATGGGTTTCTGCCAAGAGTTAAGAAGTTAGGCTCTCTTTTAGATTAAAAATAAAAGCACATTAGAAATGTGCTTTCCTTGTCACATTAGGAATCCACACAATAATGTAACAAGAAATAAGAATAAAGGCATAGTAACAACAATATAACTTATTTCATATATGCTCTAAGGCTGCTTTACATTTTTGCAGAGATATTTGCATTAAAGTTTGTGTCATAAATTGTCGGTGTTGAAAAAATAGCCTAAAAACTTCAAATATAAGAAAAAGAACAAAATATATCCCCCTTAAATGAGGTATTCTTGCTCTCAATATATTCAACTACAACTGGTTATAATTTAGCTTTTATTCAGTTTACTGGTAACTCAGTAACATTTAAGCAATTCTGAACAAATACTTTAAATAATAATAATAATAATGCAAAAACTTATCTATCAGTACAGAGCATTAAATTTTTTCATTAGAGTAATTTCTAAGACAAGAAATCAGGAAAAAAAGCAGAAATTAATATTTTTCTATAAAAGGGGAAAAAAGACAGTTAATACTTTAAGAAAAGTGAGAAACCTTAACTTGAATATGTTTATTCTGTACAGGGCTAAGCTTAAAACTTTTTTTAACAAGTAACAGACTTTTAATCAGGTTCTCCATACTAAAACAATACCCAGGCAAACTAGAAATGATTAAAATATCATCTCTAGAAAATTATATACATTTAACATAAAT